TCTTTCCCTCTCGAATTACTAATGATGAACAGTTTTCAGCATAGCTCACATGCGGTTGTTTCTAGCCAAATATGCCACATGGATGCTCTAATACTCAAAACCAGTAATTTTGAGCCAGTTATCAGATATTCAGTTACCAGCAAACACTGTTCCTGGCTGAACATCATGGTTATGTCCTCTGGAAAAAACACAAAAACAAAGCCATTCAGATTAGATTCCCTGCTGCTTAAGAGCTTTAGTTTTAAAAAGTCAAAATAACACTAAATGGGGGGGGGGGGGGGGGGGGGAGGAAGAGGAATGAGTGACCCTTTTAATGGTGTTGACTAGAAAAGCTGCAACAGTCATTAACAAACCTCCCTGCATCATGATCAGTTCAGAAGCCTAAGCCGATATCTCATTGTTAGTGACAGAACTGGAGCAAAGCAGTCTTGTTGGCTAATCTTTAAGCTAGACTTTGATTACTTCAGCCATTTGTCTGTTTTCTGACAAAGGAAGAAACACAGGAGAAAGAGCGGATACGCAGAACCAAAGGACACTGTGCAAAGCAGGTAGACAAGCCTGTATAGGACAATCACTGTTCTTTGTCTTAGTGCAAGGAGTTCTGGCTTTATCAGCAGACAAGTCCTGGTTACACAGTGGCAGCATCTCCCATCTCCAAATGCCTGGTCCTGTGCAGAAGTGGCAACATCCTCTTCTTAAACAGAAGAGGCATCTTCCAACAAGAGGTGGCAAGGCCAACAGCAGATACAGGTTTGGTTCCCCTTCCCCGCAGCAGGTCCTAGAGGGAAAGAAGGCAAGGCAAGGCGAACACTCCTGCAGAACAGATCCAGCCCAGAAGACAACCCTGGTCAGCCTACTAACACTTAGTCCCCAACTGTTGAACTGAGGCATTGATGATGGACCTGAACCATGTGCAGAACTAGAAAGTTCAGTGAAAGGAGTAAGCCTAAATGGATTCTTCCTCCTCCTCTTCAATTTGAGCTAACTGGGTATTTCCCTAATTTAAGGGGAGAAATTTACTCTTGCTGAAGATATGCCGATTTTAATGGGATCTTTAAGTCAGCTACACACTTTCCCCAGGGCCTCAGGTAAAATAAGCTGCTGTCTTGAGGTACAGCTAGTGCAAATCCTAGTTCAGTCTCAGGTGTTCCAGTAAAGCACAGATATGGCTTCTACTGATGATCCAGTTCTGCTTTACATCATCACCACCAGTTCATGAATTGGGAGATCTCTCTGGAAGTTTGTTCATTTTCATGACCTTCAACCAGCAGTCCTACGGACCTTCCCTCGGACATGCCAGGCATATCCCTCCAAGCACCAACACTGCACTGTGCTGCCAGACGCAAGCTAGTCAAAAGTTGTACAGATGCAATTAAAGTGGCACAACTTGTTAGCTAGTACTTGATGCCCATTTTAGGTCAGACTGGGCACTGTGCTAATATACATACTCCTTCGACTAATTTAGCAAAAGGAGGCATGAGGCTCCCCTCCCACTGAGAAGTTAGAGATATATCCTCACAAGCTGATCCAGAAAACATGGGTGCTCTTCTTGACACTGGTGAGAACTGACTGGCACTACTTACATTCACAGAAAGGAGAATAAAGGACTGAGATTGTGATAAACCACTGCTGAGCCAAAAGAATTCTGCCCAAAGAATTCTCTGAGAGAGATGGGTTTTCAGTAATTTCATTCACATATAGATTAGCTGCTGTTTAACTCCAGGGGGCCCTGGGTGACAGCAAAGTCACTTGGGCTGATCACAACTAAAAAGAGTGACAACGTACTGCTCTAACGCAGCAAAAGCTTCCAGAAAACAAAAAACCCCGACACAGCTAGGAAGACCAAACCTTCTAGCAAGACCAGACAAGCGCTGCCCATCTGAATTTGGTTTGGATTGAACCTGATGACAGAGAGGAGGCCAGCCTGCATCTCTATCACCATAATAAGCACTAACTTGCAAAGAGTGGAGATCTAAGTTCAACACTGACTGCATACATGCAACAAAACATTAAGACTGTGGCTTGATGGGCACGATCCTCCTTTAAGCCCAGATGTTGCAAACCTAATCAGCAATCCCAGTGCATCAACCAGGCCCGAAGGTACTTCATATGTACACTTCAGCCTTGTGAAATAAAGCAGCAATGAGAGCGACGCAAGGCCAGACTAGTACTGTGAGCATTTGTAACAGGCAAAATAGTACTAATGCTATCTTTCTCTGAACTTCACTACATACCTCCCTCAGGTCAGCAGGCTTGTCACAGCGTATTCAAGGATATCAAAACCTTGACTCTGGTAAGAAACTATGGGGACAGGAAAGTCTGGCAGCATCAGGGGGCTGAGGCACTAGAACTGCTCATCTGACTTGGGAACCATCTTGGATCAGGAAACGCACTGCTTAAAGATGCAGAATCAGTTTCCTGAATTAATCCAGGGACAACTGAGTTAAGCCCCAAAAACAGCACAATAATTCCTGGAAACTCAGCCTTTCTAAGGTGCTTGTACCACCTCAAGCTAGTAGAAGGCAACCGCTCAGGGCAGGTCATCTCCAGCAAAAGGTTTCTGGATCTTCCTCTTGAAAAATTCAGTGGTTATCAAACAAGTGGCCATCTGGCAATTTCAAATCTGAGTAAGCCTACCAGCAGCCCAGTGCTAGAAAAATCTCATTTTAACAGGAAATGCTACACAAACTGCATATGTGAGGGAAAAAGAGCTACTCCAGATTAGAAGACAGACAGGAACAAAAACCTTACCAAAGTTCATTCATAGTTTGAGAGTCCCACCACACCTGAAGCATCAAGGGAGAAGAAAAAGCAAAATTTAACAGCATCTTCTATTCAAAACTGCTGTTTTCTTCTAAGGACATTTCCTCTAAACACAGCACAGGAATAGCGTGTTGCTTGTTACTTGAAGTGTGCAAGTGCTGCACCTCTTTCTTAAGCTCAGGAAAAGCAGTCAGCCAGGTGTCATCTTTTTCCCTTGTACACCTTTAGGGTCACTTCTTAATCATACGTCTGGCTGTTCTCTTTACCACAAATGACCTCTCATCAGGGAATTCTTAACCAAGAGCACCTCTTTCACTCAGCAAGAAAGAGGAAACCATTCAAGGTGAAGTGCAAGACACTATCAGCACACTCTACACCTAATTTCTATTAAAGCTTTAGCAAATCTCCTGAGTCCCTATACAGTCACCTTCAGCTGCTCAGTGAGGTGAATCTCACCCAATTACTGTGTGGCAATCTACATCAGAGGTAACAGGCTCTGCTACTGTAAAGGTGCCTTGGATTCTAGCAGAATTCATTTCATTCCAAAACCCTGTACTGGGTCAAATGAATCATGCTTTGAACTCACCATCAGATATAAAAGCTTACAAGCACAGACAGTTGTCATACAGAGAAAACGCTCCCCATCACTAAGACAGTCTGGGGAGTAGGACTAGACTAAACGCTAGTATGCTATCATGACAAGTAAAGCTTACTGGTTTTCCCCAGTTATCTGGGCTGTAAAAGCCTTTTTTTTTTCCTCATCAGTTATCTTGTGCTGTCAGCACAGTCCTTGCTGCCTGAAGTTTACTTTTTCAATTTTGGGACAAAATTCTTCATGGGTCAACATAAACACGTGGGAGTTTTCACTCCGAAACACTGAGCGGATGGGAAAACAAAACAACTATAAAACTCAACTTGACCTCACTCATTTACGTGTTCTCACTGAGTGAACAAACATTCCCACATTACCGGTATAGCAGTGTCGGGATGTGGAGAAAACGTGTTGTTAGGCATGCAATTTTGTTTCTCTGCAACCATAAACAATGACCATGAAATCTGATTGCTTTGACAACTCTTTTGCTTAAAAATTACAGTAAAAAGGGATAGAAAAGAGAAGCCCCTTATAGTGAATTTAAGCTTAGTAACAATGGGTATATTTAGTTACCTCTTTTGAACCTTTTAGAAGTAATCCACAGATATCCAGAAGTTGCAGGCTACCAGCCAAAAGTCACTTCAGGAAGATTCAGAGAACAAGTAAAAAGTTTTATTAGAACTGGTTTTGGGGGGGAGGGGGGAAGGTACAACTTCAGGGCTAAATTTGTTACTGTCCACTGAGGTTAGAGGACTAAAGAAAAATAATTATATTCAAAAGCAGCCACTATTTTAGCAGCCAGCTCCACAGGCCTTTCTAGTTCTCTTCCACCCAAGATGCACCAAGTGCTTTGTAGCAACAGGCAGAAAAAGGAAAGAGATTCTGAGTGCTCATGTTCCCACTAAATACCATTCATCTGGGTACAGTTATCCACTGGAAGAGC